AAAAAAAAAAAAAAAACTTAACAATTTGGAGCCTAATTTTAGAACTTGACACTTTAAAATGAAGAGCATTTCACTTTTAATTTGTCTTTTAAAAATACACTTACATGTTTGTTGGTGCAGTTCCAGGACCTACGTATAAATTGAAAGTTACATTTGAATTGAAAGTTCCAATAATTGTATCTTTTAGGGTAAATAGCATATCTAGCTTCCAGCCTTTTCAGAAAGTTGCAATTTTGCCTCTAACCATTTTTGCCTCATTCTTTTTTTCGATCTTTATAAGTTAAAAGAATTAATCCTTCCCTGGGAAAATCACATTTAAAAAAGGTAGAATAGTACTTACATGCGAACAATGTGACAAGTCGTGATATTATTAAAAGAGCAATCGCAAATAACTTGATTCTCCGGTTCATCCTTAGTAGGGGTGAACCAACTCGGTTCTTTACTGCATGGATCCACACTAAAATTCCAATTTTTTTTCCCTAAAGTCTCTGCAATTTTCTTAAGTGTTTCAACTGCAAAAAAATTATTAAAAAAATCATGAAACAAGTTATAATTACGTTGTATGACATGCTTTATATGTATGTACATACCTTCATCGGTGGCCAAAGTGGCGGCGCAGCCAAGATTCACAGAGCAAAAGAGTACAGTGAGAGAAGCAATTAGGCACTGCCACCATGGGAAGAACATGGTTACACCAGAAAATAAATAAATCCTGGGATACGATGAGTTTTTGCTACACAAAAATGCTATGATCAGGAATCAAGAAATGAGTCTTTTATGAAGTGGTTTGATGTCAAATTTTGACAAGATCTTGAGAATTTGGGATGAAGACTTAAAGAAAATATGCTGATAAATGCATCTTTGTGTGGTTATGAACATAGTACTAGTCCGGGAATCTTTATGTGGTCATAACAATGAATTTTGCTATTTATAATATTAATAGCTCTACAATGCTATTAATGGGACAACATCCGTAAAAAAGAGACATTGACAAGGTCAAAATAGAAAATAGTTAAGGTGTAGGGAGGTCGATTCGAACTGTCAAAACTAAAAATCGCAATTAACCGAACTAAATGGGGCGAAAAAATAAAACTGATAGGTAATGAGGTTGCTATGGTATTTGATTTTAAT